TTATTTAAACTTTCCATGAAAATTATTTACTTTAATTTATGAATTCATATCTTCAAAGTAAATGGCTTAAACAAAACCAAGCAGTTTGGAGGGCTTCTTCCCTACCCTGGCTCCACTGGCCAAGGTACATTGTGGCTATCCAACAGAAGAAAGGTGAACATCAAGTCCCAGAGTGTGTAGAAAGTGTATCCCAGAGCCAAAAACCCTTAATAAGTGTCAGAGCATCACAAATATGATACCTACCATTCATCAAGTAACTATAACATGACTGTGATACATCAAAGCACCCTAAGACACAGCCAGGTGCTGGGGGGTAGCCTTGAGGGATCAAAGATTAGTTTATTTTTGCCTTCTAAGAATATTTCATAAATAAACACAAAGATGACGAAGCAGGTTATGAAAAATACCAGTAATGGAGTCCCATGGAAAAGGAACTCTTTCCTCTCTTATCTTTCCTTTGCAAGTCAATGAACCCTGAGTAGAAAATTTCAAACTAGCCCAAGATCAAAACTGATCCTTTAGATCCTACAGAAATTAAAAGACATGCCCAGGGCTCTGCAACAGGGGCCAGAGAAGGCAACCAAGAGAAGTCCCTCTTCCCCAGTGTGATAACAAACACGAACTGCACCTTTAGACTATTTTCTTCATGGAGACTCTTGTTTTTTCTTTAGATATCATTCAATTTAAAAAATTTGTTTCCAAGAAATTCTATCTCCATTTCAATAACTCAGTGATAGAATTTTTTCCTCTCACTTTAGATATGACTAGAGTTAATAATTAAGGCAATATAACAATTTTATTTTATTTATTTTTACATTTTATTTACTATTTTTATTATATGTGTATGTATATTGCCTGCACGTAGGTGACTGCACCTGTGTCGTGCAATGTCTGTGAAGGTCAGAAGAGGCTGTCGGATCCCCTGGGACTGGAGTTATGGACAGTTGTTAGCTGCTATGTGGGTGCTAGGATTCAAACCTGGGTCTTCTGCAAGAACAATCAGTGTTCTTAACCACTAAGCCATCTCTCCAGCCCCTAATATAATAATTTTAAATGCATGTGGATATTCATTGTTGTGGATATTAGGTATGAAAGAAATATTTAGGTGAAACAAAACCAAAATAAAGTAACAAATCATGACTTAGTTGCCCTTTTAAAAGTAACTGGATTGGAAGTAGCACACGGAAAATAATTCTGTATTTCCAGTGTCTAAGAAAGAAATCTTTCTTTGCAGAAATCAAAGGCTAGCTATAGAAATGCTGACAGAGGCATGGACATTTTTGCACATACTTTATGGTAGATGTGCTTCCATAAAAAATAATGTAGATCACTTTAAAAGTAGTGAAGCAATTCAAAGATGGATATTCCATTTGGGGCTTGTAGATCTTGCTTAAGAAAAGCGTTGGGCTCCATTGTGAAAGGTGCCCTGCTACTATGACACACTGACTAGTGAGCATATAGACAGAGATTACTGTTACTTCCTCTATATTTTTTCTTTCCCCCTTTTCCTGTTAGAAGCAGAAGCCACAAATGTTGGTCAGTCACCAGCGATTTGCATAGAGTGTGCATTCTGGCATCCCTCACATCCTGATGTGACTGTGTGACAAAACCTGAATGTAATGTTGCTTGTTAAGTGCTGTCCAGGTCACCTTCTTAGGTAAAAAATACTTTTCTAGGACTTCCTCTTCTCTCCTGCTGTCTGGAAAATGGTGGCATTGGAACAACCTGGAAGATCTTGCAAAGCCACGGTGCCAATGGTGGTGGGAGAAATGACTTCTTTGGAAGTCACACTTGTCTGATCCTTGCTTTGTGTATTTTTTGTTGTTGACAGTGCCATGCTGATTATTGTTAACTATCTGATCTAATCAAAATTTAGAAA